GAGAGCAGGGAACAGGATTCTTGAAGATATTCCCGAGGAAGAACAAGGAATGGGATTCTCAAAGGGGATGGGATTCCTGAGGGAGAGCAAGGAATGGGATTTCCCCCTGGGGAGAGCAGGGAATGGGACTCCTGTGGGGAGAGCAAGTGCTGGAATTCCTGAAGGAGGTCAGGGAATGGGCTTCCTGAGGGAGAGCAGGCAGTGGAATTCCCGAGTGAGGGCAGGAGCCTCCTCCTGCTGCTGCTTCCCGCTGGGCCATCCCTGCTCCCTGTTTTTCCCAGGTATTACCTGTTTGCCCTGGTGGTGAACCTGAGCCGGGACGCCTACGAGATCCGGGTGCTGCTGGAGCGCGCGGAGGCGGCCGGGAAGCGCGGGAAGAGCCCGGAAAACCGGCCCCAGGTGCGGGCCGACGGCGGGATCCAGCGGCTCCGGCTCCAGCTGCAGCTCCAGCTCCGGCTCCTGCTCCAGGTGCTCCGGGACAACCCCCCGCTGCTGCTGGACCTGCTCCGGAATGCCTGCGACCTGGTGATCCCGCTGGAAAAGCTGGGGCTGTGCCGGAGCAGCCCGGGATTGGTGGGATTGTGCGGCCTCACCTCCTCCGTGCTCTCCATCCTCACCATCCTCCACCCCTGGCTCAAGCTGAAGCCGTAGTTGTTACCCCGGGAGCTTCCTCGGGATAGCTGGGAATCTTGGGGGTCGATCCCAGCGGCTGGGACGCCTCTGGAGCCGACTGGCTCATCCCGTTCCCGTCGTTCCCGACTCCTCGGAGCCACGGGGTGGAGGGAACCCGGCGTCGGATCCCGCGGGGACCTCGGCTCCCGAAATTTCTTTCGTCCCGTTGACTTTTCCAGCCGTTTTTCCAGCCAGGGGATGGGAGGAGATGGAGGGAGCCCGGCGTCGGATCCCGCAGGGGCCTCGTCTCCTGAAGTTTGGTTCTTCCTGGCAACTTTTCCGGCCGTTTTAGGGGTTCAACATCCCCCCTTTTCCAAGGGGGAATATTTGGGGCTGGAAAACGTGGATCGCTGGGGGCTCTTCTCACGGATTTTGAGGGGGTGAAGCCACGGGATTGGGACCATCCTGGTGCCAGCTGGTTTATCCAACCCCTATCTGGACATTTTTCCTGCTTTTTAAGAAATCCGAGGGCAGGGAGAGGGGAGCAGGAAGGATTTTGGATGCACGTGGGCGTCGGGCGTAAATCCATGGATTTGGGGGGGTGAAATCCAGGCAGGAATTTGCTCTCCTGCACCTTCCCTGCAATCCCAGGGGGAAGAAGGGACTGGAACGGGTTGTGCCGAGCTGGGGGGGGGGGTCACTCCCAGCATTCCCACATTCCCAACAGAGAGGGAATCCTGGGTGCTTCCCAGCCACTGGGGAGCAGCTGAATCCTGTGGATCCCCCTCCCTCCCTCTGCCTGGACCCACCTTGGCTGCCCTTCCCTTCCCAGATATCCCACTCCAGGGTGGTATTTGGGATAACAGGGGTGGGGCTGGGATTCCCTGCTCCCAGCAGCCCCGGATCCTCCCGTTTTCCCTGGATTTTGTGACACCAGATCACACTCCCGTGGCCCTGAGCCAGCTGTGATGTCCTGTTACTGAACCACACCGGGAGCTGGGAATTAGTTCATTCCAGAGGTGGGATGTCCTTGGATCCATCCCTGGGAGAGCAGGAACGTCCTCTGGAAGGGTTTTTTGGGAGCTCCGTACCCAAACTCCGCCCGCTCCCGGGCTTTTTTTCCTGGGAAGAACCAGGGATTGAAGGTCTCAGAGCTGTGTTTATCCCAGGGGGAGTTGGGATGGGTGGGATTCACTCCAGTGGATCCCACGGTGTCGGTGTAATTAATGAACTAATTAAATTATTAAAGCCCAGCAGCCTTCCGGTCCCTCTGTCCTGGGATCTGGGGGAACGTGGATGCAGGACACTGGGATGGGCTGGGAATGCTGGACTGGGAGCACTGGGCTGGACTGGGAGTGCTGGGCTGGGATAACCCCCTGGAGTTGGGGGGGGCTCATTCCTGCCATTTCCAGGGGGAAAGGGGTGGGAGATAGGGGGGAGGATCCCAATCCCTTCCTTATTCCATCCTGTCCCATCCCAGCCCACCCATCCCATCCTATCCTATCCCACCCCACCCATCCCATCCCATCCCATCCCATCCCATCCCATCCCATCCCATCCCATCCCATCCCATCCCATCCCTCCTCAGTTGCCATTCCCGCCCCAGCTGAGCCCGGACCAACTCACTGCACCCCAGGGGGGCCACGTGGGGTGAGGGGGGGGGCGAGGGGATTTTTGGGGTGGGATTTGGGGGTTGGATTTGGGGTGTCCAGTGGTGTTTGGGCACTGGGAAGGAGGGAGGATCCGGAGTGGGATGAGGCTCCCCCGCAGCTGCAGCAGCTCCAGCACAGCCTCCAGGTGAGTCCAGAGCCCCTGAATCCACCCAGAGTTCCCTCACAGGCCCTTAAATCCCTTGGAACAGACTCAGAGTTATCCCATTTTTCCCAATTCTGAGCAGTTTGTGTCTGTTGTCCCAATCCTGAACCCTGTTTTATCCCATTTTTCCCAACTCAAAGCAGTTTTACCCCATTTCTCCCCGCTCTGACTCACTTTATCCCCCTTTCCCCCACTTCTATCCCATTTCCTAATTCCAACCCCTGTTTTATCCCTCTCTTCTCACTCCTGGCCCTCATTTCCCCCCCTTTTTTCCCAATTTCTCTCATTTCCCCCCTGCCTGTGTTCTCCAGCAGATGTTGGAATCCGTCTGGACCAGGAACAGGATCAACGAGGCCGAGATTCCCCCTCTGGTGGTGCTGGGAAAGGTGGGGGGGGGCCCTTCCCAGGTGCCCCCCGGGCCCCCTGACCCCCCAATCCAGCCCCCAGGTCCCTCCCTGGCCCCATCCCCACAATTCCCATTTTTCCCTCAGTGTCCCCCATGACAGGGGGGGCCCTACCTGGTGGGGGGGGTCCCGTCCGTGGCCTCACAGTCGCCCTTTGTCCGTTTTTCTCCTCGTTTCCTGTTTTTTTTTCCCTTCCCTGAAAATTCCAGCCCCGTCCCACAGCCCAGCACAAGTTTCCCTCTGTCCCAAAATCCCGGAGTTTGAATTTTTTTTCCCTCTTTTTTTTTTTTTTTTAATTTTTTTTTTCCCCAAACCCACCCAAAAAAATCTCAGCGAGGAGCCAAGGAAGGGGGCTGGGCCTGGGGAGTCCCCCCTTCCCATCGGGAGAAAGAGGAAGAGGAAGGGTTGGGTGGATGTTTGGGCTGGGCTGGGCCTGCAGGGGTCTGGTGTCCCGAATTCCACAGGATCTGCTATCCCAAATCCCAAATCCTACAGGATCTGATCAGTAGCTCCCTGGGGAGTTTGGGCCTCCTGGATCTGGTAGGGGAGACCCCCGGAATTTGGCCCTGACCTTCCTGATCCAGTCCCCAATTCCCCAAGGATACTCTTCCTGATCCCCAGGGATCCCATCACGTCATGTGAGTCCTGCCCCATCCATTTGCTGATCCCTGGGATCCAGTCCCCCAGTCCCCAGGATCTGGTCTCTGATCCCTGGGATTCAATCCCCCACTGTGGTCTGGGAGTCCCTGATCTCCCAGGAATCCTGTCCCCGATCCTCTCAGGATCTCATCCTCAGTCCTATTCCAATCCTCCCGATCCTCCAGTCAGGATCCAGTCCCTGATCCCCATGGAATCCAACCTCTCCCCCCAGAGGATCCAGATCCCAGTCCCTGGATCCAGTCCTTAGTCCCTTGGGGATCCAATCTCCAGGATCCCACCCCCAACCCCCACGGGATCTGAGACCCCAATCCCCCAGGATCCAATCCCCTGGATCCCACAGGGGTCCAGACCTCAATCCCCTGGGATCAAATCCCCCATTCCCACAGGAGCCAGCACCCAATAATTCCCCCCTGGAATCCAATCCCCAAGGGAGGATTTCCCTGTCCTCATCCTGCCAGATCCAGGTGCCACCCGGGGGATGGATCCCGGGGCTTCCTGGGGATGGGATTGGGATCCCCTCAGCACCACTGACCCCCCTCTCCTCCAGAGGGATGCCTGGATCCCCCCTCCCGCCCCTGAGGTATCCCTGGTGCTCTCGGGAGGTGTGGGGGGGGGGATCCCGTGCCAGGCGGATCCCGGGAATGGACCTGGAGCTGCCCCAGGTGCCCCCCGGGCTCCCCAAAAACCCTCCACGGCCTCCACCTCTCCTACAACAAACTCCGGGAGGGAGATCCCGGCGGGCGGCTCTGGATCCGGGAATACACAGCGGCATCTCCCCGGGCGCCTTCCAGCCCCAAAGCTGCCGCTGCCGGAGCACCCGCGGCTCTTCCAACAACTCCTTGGAGTTTTTTGGGGGGTCTCGCGCGCGCCCGGGGCAGCGCCAGGAGCGGCGGGTGGGGTGGGATGGGGGGGGGACACACACACCGCGGTCATCCTGTCTCCTCCTCCTCGGAAAGGAGCCTGGACGGTGTCCGGGAGGTGGCGGTGTCATCCGGAGGACGTGGCAACCCGAAATCCACCTAAATCCACCCCAAAATCCGCCCAGGTCCCACCCAAACCCCGCCAGAGATCCCCGAGCCCCTTTATCCCAACTCCCCCCATCCCGGTCCCCACGGGGAAGGTCCAGGGGTCGCGGCCACCTCCGGGTGGGTCCGTCCTTGGGGGGACAAGGGGGCACCCTTTTCCCACCTAATTTTTCCAGGAAAAGGGTAAAATCCCCTCTAGTGTCCCCCGTCTCCAAAATCCCTCGCCCTCCTCCTTCCCGCTCCCCTTTTTCCCCGTGTTTTTACCACTTCGCCTGTTTTTTTTCCCCGAACTCTTTGCCCCCCGCCCCCCGCCCCCCCCCCCCCCCCGAACCAAACCACATGTATTTTTAGCAGCCAATTGAAGATGAGGAGGAGGGAAAAAAAATATTAAAAAAAGAGAGGAAAAAAAAAAAAAAAAAAAAGGAAAAAAACCGGGATTTTGTCCCGGCTGGAGCCGGAGTCACCTTTGAGCTGCGGCACGGCCATGTGGGGGGTGGGGGGCCAGGGGGTGCTCCCGGCGCTGCTCCTGCTCCCAGGTAACAGACCCCCCCCCAAATTGCGCAGTTTCGGGGCGTTTCAGGGTGTTTTGGGGTGAAATCGAGGGGTTTTGGGGCTGCTGGAGGCGGGGGGAGCGCGCGGAGCCGGGTGCTCATTAACCCGAGCGCAGCCAAGCGCGGTTCGCCCCCCGCGCTGAGTGTCCGGGGGGGGGGCGGAGGAATTTGGGGTAAAACAGAAGGGTTTTAGTCATCCCAATATGTTTTGGGGTTTTCTTTATTTTTTTTGGAGGGAGGGTACCCCCGAAATCCCCCTGGATTTGGGGCGGGTGAGGGTGGGAAGGAGAACCCGCAAGAGGAACTAAAAGCCGACTTTGATGGAAAATCTTTACGTTTCTGAGGGAAAAAAAAAAGAAAGACAAAAAAAAAAAAACCCGGGGGTTTCCAGTCCCAACACAGGAGGGGGTCAGGGCCGGTTCAAACCCCCCCTTCAACAGGGACCCCCCCCCAGTCCCCACCGCGGGGGGAAACTGAGGCACGGGGGGCTTAATTTGGGGGGCTGGGGGTCTGTCCGTGGGGGAGAGAGTTCCCCCCACACCGGGCACCCCGAGCATCCCCCCCGGGTGCCGCTGGGTGGGGAAGGTCCGTGTGTGCCCCCCACCCCCCCCCAGGACCCCCCCGTCCCCCCCTCCAGGGCTCTGCGCGGGGTTCAACATCGACGTGGAGAACCCGCGGGTGTTCCGGGGCCCCCCCGAGTCCCAGTTCGGGTACCGGGTGCTGCAATGGGGGGGCGACGGCGACAGGGGGTGAGTGACCCGCGTGGGGAGGGGGAGGGACACGGGCAGGGGGGCTCAAGAAGCGCCCACACCCCCCCCCCCCGACAGCCCGCGGGGAAGGGGAGGTGGAGACGGGGAAACTGAGGCAGGAAAGGGGGGAACGGAGGGAGGGAAAAGGGGGGGGGCTGAGGTGAGGAAGGGGAAGCTGAGGCGGGCAGGGCGGCCGGAGCAGCCACGGCCGGACAGACAGACAGACAGACAGGCAGACGGAAGCGGGGGCGGCAGGACCTGGCGCGGTGCCCCCAAAACGTGCTGGCGGGGTCAGAGCAGGACGGGGGGGACCCCGTGTCCCCTCATCGTGTCCCCTCCCCGTGTCCCCTCCTCGTGTCCCCTCCCCGTGTCCCCTCCCGGTGTCCCCTCCCCGTGTCACTCTTTGCGACCCCCCCCCCACCGTGTCCCTCTTTGCGACCGTGTCCTCGTGTCCCCCCCGCGTCCCCCCAGGCTGCTGGTGGGGGCCCCGTGGGATGGGGACGGCCAAGGCGACGTCTACAAGTGCGGCGTGGGACCCCAAAACTCCTCCTGCGCCAAGGCCAACCTCGGTATTGGGGAGGGGGGAGGTGGGGTGGCTGTGACCGCGGGGGGGTTCCGGGGGGGGGAAAAGGTGTCCCCACGGTGCTGACCCCGTCTCTGTCCCCGTGTCCCCGAGGGGACACAGCGCCGTGGCTCCGCGGCAGCGCCGGACACCTCGGGATGACCCTGGTGGGCTCCAAGGACGGCGGGTTCGTGGTGAGCGCGGAGCGTCCGCGGGGGGGGGGAAACCGGGGCGGGATGTCACCCGCTGCTGTGTCGCCCGTGTCACCTTCCCCCTTCCTCCCCCGCCAGGCGTGTGCCCCGCTTTGGTCCCAGGAATGCGGCACCTCCGTGTTCAGCTCCGGCCGCTGCGTCCGCCTGGACGAGGAGCTGCGGCTCGTGGAGACGGTCGCGCCCACGGCACAGCGTGAGTGGGGCGCTGGGACGGACTGGGACGGACTGGGACGGACTGGGAGGTGCCACCCGGGTGTCGCTGTGTCCCTCTACCAGGCTGCTCCACCTACATGGACATCGTCCTGGTGCTGGACGGCTCCAACAGCATCTACCCCTGGGAGGAGGTGCAGGATTTCCTCGGGAACATCCTGGGGCGCTTCTTCATCGGCCCCGGGCAGACCCAGGTCAGGGGGTGGCACCGGGGCCACCGTGGTGTCCCCAAGGCTGGGACAGCGTTCCCGGGGCTATAATGGTGTGCCCAGGGCATTGTTGTGCCCGGGGCAAGGTGATTGTCCCCAGGGCTATGCTGTTGTCTCTAGTGATGATAGGTACCACCCTCGGGGTGATGCCACCCCTGGGGTGATGTCATTGTCCCCAGGGTGACACCACCCCTGTAGAGATGCCACCCTGGGGTGATGTCATTGTCCCCAGGGTGATGCCACCCCTGGGGTGGTGCTGGCTGGTGGTGGTTTTGGAGGGGGCCAAGGGTGCCCTTTGCCAGGGATTAGGGGGTCCTATGGGATTTGGGGGCAGGGGTCTCCTGTGGATTTGGGGGTCCCGCTGGCTCTGACCCCCCCCGTTTCAGGTGGGGGTGCTGCAGTACTGGGAGCGGGTGGTGCAGGAGTGGGCGCTGGGGCAGCACCCCGGGGATTTGAGGGGTCCCTGTGGATTTGGGGGTTCCCCAGGGATTTCTGTGGGTTCCCTGCGGATTTGGGGGTCCCGCTGGCTCTGACCCCCCCCGTTTCAGGTGGGGGTGCTGCAGTACTGGGAGCGGGTGGTGCAGGAGTGGGCGCTGGGGCAGCACCCCGGGGATTTGAGGGGTCCCTGTGGATTTGGGGGCTCCCCAGGGATTTCAGTGGGTTCCGTGTGGATTTGGGGGTCCCGCTGGCTCTGACCCCCCCCGTTTCAGGTGGGGGTGCTGCAGTACGGGGAGGAGGTGGTGCAGGAGGGGTCCCTGTGGCTTTGGGGGTCCCGCTGGCTCTGACCCCCCCCGTTTCAGGTGGGGGTGCTGCAGTACAGGGAGTGGGTGGTGCAGGAGGGGTCCCTGTGGATTTGGGGGTCCCACTGTCTCTGACCCCCCCCATTTCAGGTGGAGGTGCTGCAGTACAGGGAGCGGGTGGTGCAGGAGGGGTCCCTGTGGATTTGGGGGTCCCACTGTCTCTGACCCCCCCCGTTTCAGGTGGGGGTGCTGCAGTACTGGGAGCGGGTGGTGCAGGAGTGGGCGCTGGGGCAGCACCCCGGGGATTTGAGGGGTCCCTGTGGATTTGGGGGTTCCCCAGGGATTTCTGTGGGTTCCCTGTGGATTTGGGGGTCCCGCTGGCTCTGACCCCTCCCGTTTCAGGTGGGGGTGCTGCAGTACGGGGAGGAGGTGGTGCAGGAGTGGGCGCTGGGGCAGCACCCCACAGCCCAGGCCCTGCTCGAGGCCGCCCGGAACCTGACGCGGCAGGAGGGGAGGGAGACGCGCACGGCCATGGCCATCCGGCAGGCCTGGTGGGCTCCGGACCGGGACCGGGGGCGGGATCGGGGTCAGGGTTGAGGTCAGGGTGGGGATTGGGATTGGGATCAGGGTGGGGATTGTGGTCAGGGTTGGACTGGTGTCGCCATTCGGATCGCGATAGGGGTTGGGGTTTGGGTCAGGACTGGGGGCAGGGTTGGGGTTGGGATTAATTTTGCGATTGGGATCAGTACTGGAATAGGTATCAGGGCTAGGATCGAGTCAGGGTTTGGATGAGGGTTGGGATTGGGGTCAGGATTGGGACTGGGATCTGGATCAGGGTTGGGGTTGAGGTCGGGAACAGGGTCGGAAGCAAGTCAGGGTTTGTCTTAGAATTGGGCTCAGTATTGGAATCGGGATCAGGGTTAGGATCGAGTCAGGGTTTGGGTGAGGGTTGGGATTGGGGTCAGGGTTGGGACTGGGATGTGGCTCAGATTTGGGACTGGGATGTGGCTCAGGGTTGGGGTTGAGATCGGGGTGAGGGTTGGGAGCAGGGTGGGGACCGGGAGCAGGATTAGGACGGGGCTCGTGCTGACGGCCCCGTTCGTTCCGGCAGCGCCGAGTCCTTCAGCGCCGAGCGGGGCGGGCGCTCGGGGGCCGCGCGGCTGCTGCTGGTGGTGACGGACGGGGAGTCCCACGACGGGGAGGAGCTGCCGGCGGCGCTGGCAGAGTGCGAGAAGCGCAACATCACCCGCTACGCCATCGCCGTGAGCCCCGGCCCCGTGTCCCCCTCCACCCCGGGGGGAGTGTCCCGCTGCCCCCCGTCCCCGTGTCCCCTCCGCCCCGGGAGGGAGGAGTCCCGCTGACCCCCGGCCCTCCCGCAGGTCCTGGGGCACTACCTGCGGCGGCAGCAGGATCCCGAGGATTTCATCCGGGAGATCAAGTTCATCGCCAGCGACCCCGACGAGAAGTATTTCTTCAACGTCACCGACGAGGCCGCTCTCAACGACATCGTGGACGCGCTGGGAGATCGGATCTTCAGCCTCGAAGGTGCCGCACTGGGGCCGGGAGGTCGGGAAGGGATGGGAATTCCGGCTGGAAGCGCGCAGCTGGAGGAACAGCGTCCCCTCCCTGCCGCGGTCAGGCACCCGTGAGGACAACGAGAGCGCCTTCGAGCTGGAGATGTCCCAGATCGGCTTCTCCATCCACCTCCTCGAGGTGATCCCGCCGGGAAGCCCATCCCGGCCCTGCTGGGTGTCCTGGGATGGGATGGTGGCCTTAGGGGGGAGTTGCGGTGACACGTCCCTCCCATCCCGGCAGGACGGGATCCTCTTTGGAATGGTGGGAGCCTACGACTGGGAGGGGGGCGTGCTGGAGGAGAGCCGGCGCGGGCGCATCATCCCACCCCGGGAAGCATTCCAGGGGGAATTCCCGCTGGAGCTGAAGAACCACGCAGCGTATCTCGGTACGGGGGGGTCCCCAGGGATGGGGGGAAACCAGGGATGGGGGGAAACCAGGGATAATCCATATTATTGAGATCTGAGATGAACCAAGGATGTTCCTTGTCCCGGAGATCTCGGGGGGCATATGGGAGTCTCCGTGTCTCCTGGGATGGGAGGTGAGCCAGGGATGTTCCGTGTCCCAGAGATCTGGGGGGGGGGGGGGCACGTGGGATTCTCCGTGTCCCCAGGGATGGGGGGTGAGCCAGGGATGGTCCATGTCCTGGCCGTGGGATGAAACGGGAACGCTCCACGTGCCGGAGACACGGGGTGAAGTGGGGACACTCCGTGTCACGGATATTCGGGGTGCTGAGATGCTCGTGATCCAGATATCCGTGATCTTGATATTTAGGGCACCCCGGGGGGCCCGTGTGCCCAGGGC